GACTGGCTCACGGAATGGCAAAAGATCGCTGCAACGCCCGATCTTGAGTTGCCATTTTCGCATCTGCGCCGGAAGTTCTACAACCGGTCATGCACCACCTTGAGCCTCGCACTTGGTGATCGCGAGCAATACACAACCTTCGCCGAAATCATCGACAAGGCAAGAGAGATCATCAAGACCAACGGGATGGCTGCACATGAGAAGTCAGCATGACAGCCAACTTATGTGGAGAAAGGAAAATTTGGTCCCCGTCCGCAGCATGTCGCTGCAGTCCAGCCGGACAACATTGTGGAAGACCCGGCAGCCACCCAAGCATCACGTGAGGGAGATCAGGTGATCGTCATCCAGCAACGAAGCAACAACAACTATCGTAACAAAGAGAAGGCGAATACAACATCGCCGGCATGAAACAGATAGCCAGCACCATGGGTCAAGTTCAACTTAACCGCGACCGATATGGTTGTTGCTATTGGTGTAATAGCACCAAGCACAAGACCTCCTACTGCCATGATCAAAAGGCAAGGAAGATGTTCGGCCTCGCATCAACTCGGAAAACTGAGTTGCGCGGGAGGTGAGGCGACTCCACCTCTCACTCCGCCCTGATTAACCGTTTGAACGCTGTAAACGCGCGTTCGCGTTCAAATGTGCGTTTGAATGCGGATTTATATTCGCGTTCAAAATTGAACGGCGTTCAATTATTTTTTTATTTTTTTTCTGAAAAATCATTTTGATGCCTAAAAATAATTTTATTTTTCTGATTTTTTTTTAATGAGTTCTGTATGATGTGAAGTACATGCCTCTCAATTTTGGAGTCACAGGCAAAAAAAAAAGAAACATCTCCAAAGATGGCGGTGTCAAATCGTGTTCGCTCACTAATTTCAATTTTTTTTTTACTTTTTTCTATTTACTTTTTTCTATTGTTTTTTCCAATTTTGTAACGAATTTAGATGTAATGCTGAGGCAAATGTTGTTTATTTTATTTTTCTTCATAACATTTTTTTTTTCGAAATTGTTTGAGTTTCCGCTTACCCCTACAGGGGGCCGGGGTCCCGGGTGCCGACCCCCGGAACCCCGGAACCCCGGCGGGGTCCCGGGGCCGGGGTTCGACAACCCTGGGTGCAGGTATGAGGATCGATGATTGGAGTTGAGTAGGTAATTGGCTCGGGGCCATATTGGAACTCTCGGCGAATGGGCCTTTATTGTTGCAGATCTTTATTTTTTGGTATGAGGTTACTGCGGCAACGCCGAACTTTCTCTTTCGAATCTGAGTATCTCCTATCTTGATGCTCCTCCCTCATCTCCCTCTTCTCCATCTTTGAATGACGTTGTGTCGGGATGTTCGTCTCTCCCATGGATGAATCTGTGTGCATTCCTTCGTGAAAGAACTTCTTCCGGAACTTTTCCATTAGTTTCCTGGGTAATCCCCAAAAGCAAGGGAACCCAGCCTTCTTATCTTGTGAATGGTGGATGCGTGTGTATTGTCCCCCGATCTATCCTTGATCTATGTGCATGTGTCATTCTTTTCCGCACCTTCCACAGTGAATGGATGCGTGGATGAAAAATTGTTTGTCGATTTGATCTTGATGGGATTTTGTTCGAGAATGCAAGAGTGTTTAGATTTGTTGCGTTAGATGCGTAGCGCTTGCCATCTGCCTTATGCTGCACGACATCTGCGTCCGACCTTCAGGGCAGCCCCGAAAAACAAGGCGCCCCGGATCTACGCAGCACTGACTTACTGCATCAGAGTTGCGAATCGGACCTTTTGGCCAGACTAGTGTGATAAGTTTTCTTCCGTGTTGAAAGACTAATCGGATTTGTATTGGAGTTTTCTTTTGATGACGTCTCGGGATATTCGCAATTGATTGACATGTGGACTGACGAACGCCCTTCAACCGGGCGCCAGCCTCCCGTATCTCCCGCGCCAACACGACCTTTTCCCTACGACGAGGAAAGGACACGTGTATGCGAGTGGGACATACGAGAAGCTGTCGCACGGATCGGCGGACGATATTACTTCCTTCCGAAAAATCGTTACTCACGGTTCGTGGAGGCTGAATTTGTTATTATCGACACACATTTTCCGCCTTATTCGATATTGTTGCCATTTAATGAGTTGACCGTCATTCCGTGGATGGCAGTAGAACCCCACTGACCTCGCACTTTGTGCACTGAGTGCTAGCGCTGCGAGCGCTAGGAATCCAAGGGTTTCCACTACCTCGTACGGAGTGAAGATAAACACAGAGAAAGAGCCACATGACTGAGGCCCTCCACGTCGGACTCAGAACTGACCAGCGAGCGACGCCGGGACTTGATACGAAAACGAGACACGCGAAGCGTGCCGAAGCCTTTTCACTCTAAACGAAGGGCTGTAGCACGGTGGGAAGTCCGACCGTACTTTTTAGATTTAAATTTGTATTTCTCTCTCCTTTCGCGCTGAACTCGCGAGCGCATTCCGCGACGCGCGAAAAACAATCGACTTACTTCATTGGACCAACACGGTGGATTTCAGTTCTGTCTGTGTCACCACACTCAATTTCCAAAAATCCTAGGCACGCCCCATCTTGCTGTTTTTCTGGGCCCCTTTCTCGCACTCTCAACACTCCGAACGAAAGACAACACAGGGCGTGAGGTTGCGCGTCACAGCCCAGCGCCTCAGAGTTTTGCTTGTGGTGACAAAAACTTTGGGCAAGGCTGGGGCCGTGTATTAGCGGTTTAAGGGCCTCACCACGCCACTTTGGAAACGGGGAAGTTTGTATTCTTGTGCAAATTAGTCAAGAATAAATGGTGAGTCTGGTTTTTAAGAGTTTGCGGCCCCTCGCCACACAGCACTCTCAGGGCATACTCACATGGGGACCTATAATCCCAAAATCCCCCCCCAAAAGAGAAAAGGCCAGTCACACGGATCTACCAAATTGGCAAATGTACTATTCCAGTGCCGATTTGTCAGCGGCCTGGGACGCCGCGGGGCAGGGGATTTTGCGGTCACCTCTGGAGGTGACCGCAAAGTCCCCTTTTTTTTTTTTGCATTTTCTTCAAAAATTGTCAAAATTTGTTCACAAAGGTTCTTGCACAATTGGCGGATGGCGCCGTGTGACCAGCCAAGTACCAAATCCCCATTTCTCGAGACGGCCGCGACCTTGTACCATCTGGGAAGGTACAGCGGTGTGACGTGAATACCCAAAACCTCAAATTGGCCCTTCCCAAATCCACATATCTTGAGGCTTTGGGTTCGCCGTGTGAGTATGGGTCTCGCTCCACTACTCTACAAACCAGCCATTTCTTGAGCTCGGCACCGCTCCACTAACTCTAGAAGCGAGGTCTCGAATTCAGGTTCTTGAGCTGTCAGTATCTACTCATGAAAATAGCAAGAATCCATCGACGCTCCACTACCTCATGAAACAAACTCACGAAAACGATTTTCGTGAGTTGTCAGAACGTCCTCTCCCGTGGCACTCTTGACGTTTCGAGAGCGCCCGCCTGCAGCGGCGGGAATTTCAAGGGAGGCAGCGAGGACCTTCGAAAGTTGAGCATTTTTATGGAGTGCACCTTGAGTCTGGGCGGACAATAACCTGCTGGCGATGTCGTGTAGCTCTCTCAAAGAGCGGTCTGACATCCGAGAGGCCTTCTCGAGTTCTACCTTCTAGAGTAAGTGGAGCGATGATCTCTTTTTCAGTCTTTTCTAGAGTCTGAAAGCTCTAGACTCACTTTCGAAAATCTTCGAGAGTCTAGAGTAGTGGAGCGAGACCCTATGCCCTCAAAAGGGAGATGCTGTTGGACAGAGGGTGAAAAATGATAGTCATACAACTTTGTTTTTTTTCGAATGGTGTCAGGATAACCACCTGACTGACAACTCTTGAAAATAGAAAGCCCCTCAAGGGTTCGGCCAAGGATGCTTGAAAACGCACGAGTTGCAGGCTGGGGTTTCCAATCTTTCAAGAGCTGCTCTTGAAAGGGTTACAAGAGGCTGCCACTCTGACAGCTCTTGACTGCCCCAAATGTCAAGAGGCAGACTGTTTGACTATGCTGCAACTCTTGAAAAAGAGTTTTCAAGAGTGGCATGGGGAGGCCCCTAAGGGCCTCGCCACACCACTCTCTAAATGTGAAAAAGACAAAAATGTGGCGGGTGCAACTGGCCATGATCTAGCAAAAAATTCGTTCTCCTTTTGCACATTTCGAGAGTGGTGTGGCCAGGCCTAAGACTTTACTAATGTGAGAAGGCCCTCAGGGCGTCAGTATGCCCTCACTGACAAGGTCTTGTTGCAGGGGAGCCACAACTGTTACAAAACATGTCTCTCTCTCTCTCTCTCTCTCTCTCTCTCTCTCTCTCTCTCTCTCTCTCTCTCTCTCTCTCTCTCTGGGCATTCACACGGGGACCTACATTCCCAAAATCCCCAAAAAAATGGGGAAAAGGCCAGTCACACGGATCTACCAAATTTGACAAATGTACTATTTCTGTGCCCATTTGTCAGCGGCCTGGGAAGCCGCGAGGCAAGGGATTTTGCGGTCACCCCTCTGGGGGTGACAGCAAATGCCCTATTTCATTTTTCGCATTTTCTTCGAAAATTGGCAAAAATCCGTTTACAAATGTTCTTGCACAATGTGTGGACCGAGCAGTGTGACCAGCCAAGTACCACATCATCCCCATTTCTCCAGTCCAAATGGCCGCGACCTTCAAGTTGTCCCATCTGAAAAGGTAAGGTACAGCAGTGTGATGTGAACCATGCCCAAAACCGCAAATCGGCCATTTCCAAATTTGCATACTTCGCGGATTTGGCGTCGTAGTGTGAGTATGCCCTCTCTCTCTCTCTCTCTCTCTCTCTCTCTCTCTCTCTCTCTCTCTCTCTCTCTCTCTCTCTNCTCTCTCTCTCTCTCTCTCTCTCTCTCTCTCTCTCTCTCTCTCTCTCTCTCTCTCTCTCTCTCTCTCTCTCTCTCCCTCTCTCTCTCCCCCCCAGTGTTTGTTTTTGCAAGTGCTGTCTCTCCACTGCTCGACATTGTAAATGCATCAGGCGCTGGTAGCCGTCCCTATGCATTCAACTTTCAAACAATCCAAATGTGTACGGAGGACCGGAGCTGTAACTGGACCGGATACATTCAGACGGTTTCCAAATCTTGTTTGTATCAGGAGACTTGCAAAACATACACGCGAAGATAGAAAAAAAAAAACAAAGGAAGGAAGGAAGAGAGGGAGTGTGTGTGTGGGAGAGAGAGAGAGAGAGAGAAAGAGAGAGAGAGTTAGAGAGACAGAGAGACAGAGATGAATCGCTGGCATTTATGTGTGTGTGGGCGCTCTTTTGTGTGTGTGTGAACAAGACAGAGCCGCCGTCATGTGTGTGTGTGTGTGTGTGTGTGTGTGTGTGTGTGTGTGTGTGTGTGTGAGAGAGAGAGAGAGAGTTGCAGGCATGTTTGTGTGTGTGCGTGAACGGGTTTGCAACTTTGCATGTGTGAATTTGGGAGCCAGATTGCCGTGCTGGGTACGCCGCAAAGTTGCGGCCGC